CAGAGCTGTGGTGCCTTCAGGGTCACTTCAGGCGTCTGAACCTACAGGACTCCACAGGGCCGCCCCCCCAAACCACAAAGCATTCTGGGATCTCTGCGTGGCTTCTTATGCTATAAATAACCCCCCAAAAACAGGGCGCCGTCCTCCCTCAAATGAAGCTTTGAGAGCGTTTGAGTGAGACTTTGTTCTAAAGTATTTGCATCTCTCAACGACCACTCCGGTTTGGGTTTCCGTAACGTGGAGGTAATTGCGTTGGGAGCCGGCCGGACGGGCGGGGTCGCGTCCACATGAGCTCCGGGAATGTTTATTTCCTGTCAGCCGGCTGATAAGAGCAGTCTGAGGACGCGATAAGGCCGGCCGTCACACTCCTGACGGGCTCTGGGTGATGCCCCTGGCCTCAGTCTGACCTCCCCCAAACTCCCCCTGCACCTCTGCCCATCTGTTGGTCAGTTCAGCCAGATTTATGAAAAATAAACGTAATAAATGTTCTGTAGGACATAAATATCCATCGAAATGTCTCTAAACGTTCACCTGAAAAGTTGAGTGTGATCAAGCGCCCACCGACTCTTTTGTTTTTTAGATTTGTTAATTAGATCTGTAATTAGCTTGAGTGGCAAATAACAAAAAAAAAAAAGAATTCAGCTCCTCATTTTTACAGCTTCGAACTGAGTTTATGATAAGGAGGAAACTGTTCCCACTCAGAGTCCACCTGCTATTTTCCCACCGTTTCCAATATAAGATGTTTATTATGGACATTAAAAAGTATTTGTTTTATTTTCTCCACAGCTCTAATTAAGCTAGGGAAAAGGTTGTTACCTGTAGGCATAAATAAATAGTGAAACAAGTTTTCCCAGAGAGCACAAATCAGTGGTTTTGTCCTTTCTGTGTTGGGAAGCTTCAGATTCTTTGGCTCAAACCTCCAGTTTGACCCTCTCTTCCGGGTTACGTTCCTCTGGGAGCCCGTCTCCAAACGAGAGCCCAGTTGGAGCGTTTGCCCTGTTTGATTTTAAGAGCGCAGGATGTGATGACGCGCTGGAAAATGAAGGCTGAGTCCTCCCAGGACGGTGCCTTCAGGGGCCCGTAAGACAAATGGAAAACGCCTGGTCAAATCTGAGAGGCAGATTTTGTACATAAGAAGGGCAGAGGGGCCAAATGAAGACAAGACGAGGGTGTGAACCGGTCCTGGAGGAAAGATAAGATGATAGTTTATACAGCAGAAACCTTAAAAAACACAAAGCAAAGCCGATTGGGTCCCGCATAGGGTTGTCAAGATACTAAAATTTTCGACTCGATACCGATACTCAGGAAAATACTCGATACCATTTTCAATTTCGATTTAACTATTTTTAAATTAATGTCTATATTGCCATGAGGCATTACCATTTTCTTGCCTGGGATCTCCCTATTGGTGACTTGGATGTGGGCGGAGTTAGATATGTACTTGATTAATGGTAGCACGTTATTATTAGCCATTAGCCGCAGCTAGCAGTTCAAGCACTTCCTGTCTGGTTTCTACTTTTGCTGTGTTGTGGTGTCGTTTATTTAAATTTGGTTGAAATGAACTGGAGATTGATGGCAGGGAGGGAGTCCTCTCCACCCGGGGGGGGGGGG